AAAGAATCAGGAAACTTGAAGATAGATTGATAGAGATTATGCAATCTGAAAAACAGAGAAGAAAAAGGAAGAAAAATGAAGAGAGCTGCAGACTAACGTGGGACACCATTAAGCACACCAACATAAGCATAATAGGACTACCAAAAAATCTGCTACTTTTTAGATTATTCTAAAAAATAGTGGCTGAAAAATTCATAAATTGATGAAAAACACTAATGTACACACCCAAAAAGTGCAATAAATTCCAAGAAGGATAAATTTGAAGAGCCTTACATTCAGGCAAATTGCAGTGAAAATGACTTATTATATATAAATAAAGCCCAATAAGAATAAGAACTGACTTCTCAACAGAAACAATGGAGGCAAGAAGGCAGTTTGAGAAAATATTAGAAGTATAGAAAGTTAACCCCCAAATTGAAAAACTGTCAACCAAGAATATTATAACCAGTTAAATTATTTTTCCAAGATGATGGTAAAATATATTCTCAGAGAAAGAAAAATCTGAGCAAATTTGTTGCTAGCGTATTTGTCTAACAAGAACTACTAAAGAAATTAGCAGGCAATGACAATAATGGCACAAAGGAGGAGGGGGAAATAAAACTATTTTGCCATAAGGAAATGACACCAGATGGTAACCTGACCTCAAAGGAGGAAATGAAGAGGACCAGAAATGGTAAACAAAGAGACTAACATAATGAATGATATACTTACTCTCCTTTCTTCTCTCAGCTGCTTTAAAAGACATATGATTGTAAAAGGTAGTGATTACAATAATGTATTGTTGGGTTTGTAGTATTTATAGAACCAATATATATAAAATGTTAGCACAAAAAATGGGACAGAATGGAGTTATGGAGTTATATAGAAGTAAAGTTTCTGTATTTCAATAGAATTAAGTCTGAATACATTTAAACTAGATTTTAATATGTTAAAATGTGTATTGTATTCCCTACAACAACCACTAAGAAAATAATTTAAAAATGTAATTTAAACAAATTATTAAAGGAATTAAATTTTACATTAGAAAATACATATTTACTATAAAAGACATCAGTAAAGGAGGAGTAGAGAACAAAACAATATATGAGACAGAAAACAAAAAGCAAAGTGGAAGCCATAAATCCTATCATATCAATAACATTAAATATAAATGAATTTAACAATATAATCAAAAGGTGGAGATTAACAGATTGGTTAACAAAATAAGATTTATCTATATCCTGTCTATAGGAAAATACTTGGTTTCAAAGATACAAATAGGTTGAAAGAAAAAGATGAAAAATATATGCCATGCAAATAATCATAAGAAAGCTGGAGTGGATACAATAATATCAAACAAAATCTATTCTAAAAAAAAAATGTTGCTAAAGATAAAGAGGGACATTTCATAATGATAAAGTTACTGCATCAAGAAGATATACAATTATAAACACATATGCATCTAACATCAGAACCCCAAACACATGAAGCAAAAACTGACAAAATTGACAGGAAAAATAGACAATTTAACCACAGTAGTTAAAGACTTCAAAACCACATTTTTAATAATGGATAGAACAACAGCCAGATGATTAACAAGGACTTAGAGGACATGAAGAACACTTAGACTCACTTAGACCTGCATAGTATACTCCAACCAACAACTGGAGAATACACATGCTCCTTAAGAGCATGTGGAATGTTGTCCAAGACAGACCATAGAACAAACTCAATACATTTAAAAGGATTGAAGTGTGTTCTCCAACCACAATGGAAATGAATTAGAATTTGTTTAAATTAAATAACATACTTCTAAATGGCCAATGGGTCAAAAAAGAAATCAAAGGAAACTAGAAAAATCTTCCAGGTAAATGAAAACAAGAACTCAACATACCAAATCATATGGGATGCAGGTAGAGCAGTGGTCAGAGAGAAATTTATAGCTGTAAATATAAATATATATCAAAAAAAATATCTTATTTCACTAACCTAAACTTTCACCTGAAGAACCTGAAAAAGAAGAGTAAACTAAATGCAAAGTAAGCAGAAAGATTAAAGATTTGAACAGAAATTAATGAAATAGCAAATATAAAAAACAATGGAGAAAAATCAATGAAACTAAAAGTCCTTTGAAAAGATCAACAAAGCTGACAATCCTTTAGTTGACATACTAAGAAAAAAAGAAAGAAGACTCATATTACTAAAATTGGTAATAAAAAGAGGGGAGATAACTACTGATTTCACAGAAGTAAAAGGGAGTATAAGGTATTATTACAAACAACATTATGCCAACAAATTAGATAACTTGGATGAAATGGACAAATTCCAGGAAACACAAATTGCCAAAACTAATTCAAGAGGAAATTAAAAAAATTTTTAAAGAGTTTGAAGTAGGTTCAGGCCCAAATAACTTTATTGTGAGGTTATAATAAAATGTAAAGAAGCATTGATATCAGTCCTTCATAAATTCCTTCAAAAAGTAGAAAAAAGGGGATAATTCCTAACACATTCTAGGAGGTCAGTATTATGCTGTCACAAGAATAGAAAACTACTGTTCAACATCCTTTATGAATATGGACATAAAAATCCTCAACAAGATACAGCATCTAGAAAACCATCCAACAACATATAAAAAGGATTATATACCATAAACAAATGGGATTTATCCCATGAGTACAAGGTTGGTTGAACATTTGAAAATCAATGATCATCTTACAAGATGCAGAAAAAGCATTTCACAAAATGCAATAATGTTTTATAATAAAAACATCTAACAAACTGGAAATAGGAAACTTCCTCAACCTCATAAAGAGGGTATCTGCAAGAAACCTAGCTGACATAATACTCAGTGATGAAAGACTGAATGCTTTTTCTAGGATCAGGAGCAAGACAAAAATATCTACTCTTGTTCTACTCAATGTTGTGCTGGCAATTCTAGCCAGGGAAATTAGGCAAGAAAAAGAAATAAAAGGTTTTCAAATCAGAAAGGAAGAAGTGAAGCTATTTCTATTTGCAGATGATGTGATATTTTATGTTGATAATGATAAAGAACCCATTAAAAAACTATTGTAAAGTAGTGATTCTATAGCATCATACTATGCTGATGGACAGTGACTTTAATGGGGTATGTGGTGGGGGCTCGATAATGGGGGGAATCTAGTAACTACAATGTTGTTCATGTAAGTGTATATTAATGATACCAAAATAAATAAATAAGTAAACAAACACAATCTAATAAACTTTATCACATTAAAAAAATACTATTGTAACTAATAATTAGTTTAGAGGCATCACACTTCCTGATTCCCAGCTATTTTACAAAGCTATATTAATTAAAATGGTGTGTACTGGCAAAAAAACAGACACATAGGTCAGTGGAATAGAATAGAGAACCCAGAAATAAACTCATACATATATGGTCAATTACTTTAAACAAAGGGGCCAAGAATATACAATGGAGAAAGGATATTCTCTTTAAAATATGGTATTGGGAAAACTGGACAGCCACATGCTAACACCACATACAGAAATCAAATGGATTAAAGGCTTGAATGTAAGACTTAAAAACATAAAACTGCTAGAAGAAAACAAGTTCTTTGACGATGGTCTTGGTTATGACTTTTTTGGGGATTTGACAATTAAAATAAAGGCAACATAGGGAAAAATAAACAAGTGGGACTACATCAAGCTGAAAAATCTTCTGCATAGAAAACTATCAACAAAATGAGAAGGCAACACATGGAATGGGAGAAATATTTGAAAATCATATCTGGAAAGGGGTTAATATAAAAAATATATAAAGAACTCAAAGAACTCAATAGCAAAACAAACAAAAATTTTCAAAAATTAACAAGTTGATCCTAAAATTCACATGGAAACAGGAGGGACCTGCTTAGCCAAACTACTTTGTAAAAGAAAAACAAAGTTGGAGGCTCACACTTCCTGGTAAAAACATACTACAGTTATATAATCAGAACAGTGTAGTAATGGCATAAGGATAGATACACAGATCAATAGAATAGACTATCAAGTGCAGAAATTTTTGACAAAGGTGCAAAAACAATTCAGCTCAGCAAATGATGCTGGACCAAGTGGATATGCACAAGTTAAAGAATTAAGTTAGATTCCACCTCACACCACATATAGAAGTTACCTCAAGATAGATACTTCTACATTGAAGGGCTAACACTATCAAACTCTTAGAAGAAAATATAGGAATAAATCTTTATGACTTTGGTTAGGCAATGGTTTCTTAGACTTGACCACAAGAGAATAAGAATAAAAGAAAAAAAGTAGATAAATTAGCCTTCACTAAAATTAAATCTTTTGTGCTTCAAAGGACACTGTCAAGAAAGTGAAAAGGCAATCCACAGAATGAAATAAATATTTGAAAGTCATTTATCTGATGAGGGTTTCTAGTAACTGGAATATGTGAAAAACTCTTACAACTCAAAATAAAAATACAACCCAATGAAAGTATAGGCAAAGCATTTGAATTGATATTTCTCCAAGAATATATACAAACAAATGGTCAGCAGTTCTCTACACCATTAGTCATTAGGAAAATGTATATCAAAACCATGATGAATGGATGACTATAATAAAAAAGACAGATAAGAACACGTTGAGGATATGGAGAAATCAGAACCTCATATACTATTGGTGGGAATGTGAAATTGTGCGGTGTCTTTGGAAAGCAGTTTGTCAGTCTCTCAAGGAGTTAAACATAAAGTTACTGTTTGACTCAGCAATTCTACCACTAGGTATATATCTAAGAAAAATGAAAATATAGGTCTACTCAAAAACTTGTGCATGCATGTTCATAGCAGCATTGTTCATAATTGGCACAAAGTAGAAACAGCCCAGATGTCCATCAGCAGATGAATGGATAAATACAATGTGGCATAGCTCATAGTGGAATATTATTCAGCCATGAAAAGGAATGAAATCAAGATAAATGTCATAACATGGATGAAACTTGAAAATGTTATGTGAACCAAGTAAGTCACAAAAGACTACATATGTGATTCCATTTATACGAAATGTCCAGAAAAGAATAAAGACAGAAAGTAGATCAGTGGTTTAGGGTGGGGGTGGTTGGAGAGTGATTGTTAAGGGGTATCCCTAGTGAGGGGGGTGGTGATACTGTTGTGAACTTAGATTATGGTGACCTTGGTTATGAATACACTAGGAACCATTGAATTGTGTACTTTAAGTGGGTGAATTTTATGGTATGTGAATTACAACTAAACAAATATTTTTAAAAAATAAAAAAAAAAACCCTTAAGACTGATGGGAGACTGAAAAGACATACTGGGTGACCCCTAGGGCATGGCTTTTCATGTTGGGGGTCCACTGTGGCTCTCTGTGAACCCTCCGCAGGCTCAAGCACTAGAATCTGGAGTTGAGCATGGAGCTTTTGGATCTGCACTGGCCATGTCCCAGAAACAAATCTTGGTGGTGTCTTCTCAGTGCCTGCTCACTCTGGGGCTTCTTCACTGTGACACCCCACAGTGACAGGAATGTGCCCTCGACCTGACCTGGGTGATTTGCAATTTCAAAAGCCCTTTCCCTAACTCCCTCTTTGAGTCATTGCCTCATCCTGAGAGAAGTGCATTATTCCCATTTAATGGGGGAACCTGAGACCAGAGGGGAGAAGGGGGTTGGCTAAGATCAATCAGTGTATTACCAACAGACTTAATGATCGCAGCCCAGTGCTCTTCCTGCTTCCAAGTGGGCTGTCCCATGTCTAAAGACTATGGGACATTTTCTGCTGAGAAGGGGTAGGATGCTGGCCCTTATAGTCTTTCTGCAGGGATGAGGGTGGGTAACCATGTGTCTGTAGAGCATGGTGGGCTGCGGCTCAGATGGAACATGACCTTGGACAACAGGAGCTGCCAATTTTTTGCCTGGTACACTAACAGGGGTGACAGTCCTGGTCTGTTTAATTTCAGCTCAGCTTCGTTTTTTTTCCCCAGCAATAAGAGTGTTTTAGAGCTTTACTTTGCTAATTTAGGATCATATCCCAAGCCCCTAATGCTTCAAACCCTGCAAACTGATGCCAGGCATCAGAAAGCCTAGATGTCTTGGGATGGCAAGCGTGTCATGTCTCCTGAAACTCCGGACTTGCCTTCACAGCTAAGACACATCCCAAACTGCTCTTGTGCTCTGGCTCACACAACTGTCTGCTACACTGACGTCACACTTCCGGGTTTGCTCCTTGGTCCATCCTGCTCTGCTGGCTTGGGTCCTGAGAACAGAGCCGGAGTGCTGGGTGCCCCAGGGGCCGGCCACACTTGTGCTGTGAGGTGTGTGTGCCCATCACATCTCCCTGACACGACAGTGCAAGACCCTGGCTCCTCTCCATGGGGGTGCCTTCTATGCACAGGGCCTGCCTGGGATTTCTGGCCCAGTAGGACTTGAGCGCAATCCCAATCTACCCAAACCCAAGTTCTATGTTAATTACTCTGCCCCAACTGTGGCTCTCAGATCCTGGAGTCCCTCCTTGGGGACAGCTAGAGAAACAGCTAGCTCCACTGCTTCCAGCTCTGAGGGTTTAGGGGGATGGGATTATGTTTTCTCACTTGGTTGGACAGAAGAACTGGGATACTGCAGAAAGAGGTCTGCTTACTTGGGGCACTGGCTGCATTTAGGCACCAAATTGATACCAGCTTCTGGTTGGTAATTATTCCCACACATTTGCAAAAGTAACTGGCAGGGAATGTTGGAAAGTATACAAGAATGAGCAGGTTTCTTATGTAGACCTAAAGTATGTTTTCTAAGGCTTTCTCTACAGAAACCCGGCCAACTAGGAAACAGCGCAACTGTTTCTTTAGATTTCTCATTTACTGAGATTGCCTACGAAGAACAGTGTGTCTGCTCTTCTTGGCAACAATCCCAGGGACCAAAAGACACTTTTTAGAAATAAAAACTATATTGCAAATCCTCCAAGGAATATCTGGTTTGAATTTTTTGGTTCATTCTAGGTTAATTGTGACGTCTGTAGGCCTGTGGCAGAAAGCTGCCTGCTGGTCCACTTTCCTCCTATTCCCAGTCTTTCCTTCCCCTTACTTCTCTCCCATTTTGAACACACATATTTATTGGCCTTATTCTGCTAGCAGACAGCTAAGCTTGCTGGAGCCACTTTTCTGTGCTGTGAGTCTCTGGGGCACCACCTGCATGGCCCCTGCCTATGCTGTGTCCTGGGCTGAGGCATTTACTGCTGAAAACTGCCATCGGCATTCAGGATCTTTTAGCTTCCATCATCTACTTGGAATCTGGGAGGAATCCGTGTATTGCAGGGAGGGCTCAGCGATACTTCAGGAACTAGTTTCACTTCTCTGGCCTGCTTTCCCTTGGTGAGCACAGAGTGGTGCTGTTCCTCCTGCTGCCCAGCACTGCAGACTGCCGCCCACTGCAGGGTGGTGCTCCACAGAGGGTGGGAGGAATGGGGGATGTGTGTGGATTTTGCAGCCTTGCCTACCTCCCCATCCTGAGAAGTCCTTGGTTGGGGGTTGGACCCTAGGGCCACCTTCAACACCTGCCTTTGAGATGCCTAAGTCGCCAACCATCATGGGCCTTCAGAGCTGGATGTCACAGGAGAGGTGGGCCATGAGTTCTTGCTGAGTACTGGGCCCATGCCAGGCACAGAAGCCCAGTGGTTTCTCCCTGGGCTGAGGCAGCCATGTTCTCTGTGTCCAGAAGGGAGGAAGCTGTGCTGGCTTCAGGCAGCCTGAGTGCCATCTGTGCCTCCCTCAAGGCCTCTGTATGCCCTGCAAGCCCTTGATGGCCCCAGAGGCCTAGACACTCTGAGGATGTCTGGTCACCCCTCGGAGTTGACCTGTGGAGACCCTGAGCTCCTGGACAGGAGACTCTAGGCAGGGGCACCAGTCTATGCAGAACCCTGGCCCGGCGTCTCTAAAGCTGGAGCACACCACTCAGAAGAAGCTGGTGTCTGTGAGAGAAGATAGGAAAATTGGGGCCTGGCGGGGAGGGATGATGGGGGTGGTGTCAGCAGTGGCCTCCTCTGGCTCACTGTCCCCATCATCCATGCTTTCCAGGGACGGGATGATTCTGACCGCACTGTCTTCAAAGTGCACCTCTTTCTTCTTGGCTGGTGAGCCCACTGGCTCCACAGTCAGATCCGTCAGGGTATCTGGGTGCTGGGCGGCAGTGGGCTTCTTGGCCCCCTTCAGGATGCTCTTCATGTGGATGAAGAGGGAGCCAGGCCCTTCCCTGAGGGCCCCCTGGAAGGTGTAGGTTTGCTCAGTGTCCCCAGAGCTGGTGGTAGTCATGGCGCTGCTGGAGGCGTCTGTGTACTGCTCTGGGGGGACTGTAGCCTCAGGGGCAGCTTTGCTCTTCTGCTTGCTCAGGAGGAAGTAGGCCAGGCCAGTGATGATGAGCATGGAGCCTGGAAGAGACCTGGGATGTCAGGAAACTGGATGTGCCCCGGACAAGTCGAGGCTGGCCAAGGCCACTGTCCAGAGAGCCATGGTGCCATCTGTGCAGCCACATTGGGGCCCCTGCATTCTAGCTGTCACAGCTGACTTGTCCTCAAACACCTACTTCAGATTTGGGGGCAGGCTTGTCGCCTGGCCCAGGGGTGTCAGTGGGGCTGGTGCTGTGCTGAAGCCCCACCCTAATCTGTAGCCAGGGACCCTGGGCCTGACCCTTTCCTGCCTGCCCAGCTTCCCTCTCAGAAAGTTCCTGAGGAGCCCAGCTTTCCTCTCAGGAGCGCTGCCCATGGGCCTAGACTCTGTCCCAGAGACGGAGCCTGGTCTCTTTCATTCTCAGGAGTGGGGAAGTCCCCCTGAACTTGCCTGATAGACTTGAGACTCTGGCAGACTCCTCTCTGTCCCCCTATCTCCAGGCCATCTCCAAGCCCACAACCCCTGCTCTCCTGGGAGCAGGAGGTGGTGGCTCCATCTGGCCCTGACATTGCTGAATCCTTCTCAGGAGTCTGGGAGGGCCAGATAGCATGGCCATGAGAGGCTGGGCAGGTATGTTCAGAGAAGCCACTGGGAGGAAGAGGAGGCCCTGCCTCTCAGCTTTGCTCCCTGGGCATTTCCGATGGGTCATAGTAGGGACACAGTTTTGGCTGCTAGGGAGGAGGGAGCAGAGGGTGCTAACAGAAGAGGCAGTGGACAAAGCCCAGGAGGTGGCATTGAGTCCTGGCTCCTGGGATCAGAAGCTGGGCTGTCTAGTAAGGTCTGAGGTGGACTGGAAGGCGATGGTGAGCTCTGAGGGTCCACCGGGGGCCTGTCACAGTTTACCTTCCTGGCCAGGATGAGGGGTTTGGGCCTGAGTGGGTATGCACTGGGGAGACATGGAAGGCTTTGGACTGACAAGTGACTATCTCTCACCCTCTGAAAGCTTGTCCCTTACACCAGCATTGGAGGGAAGGCCAGTTTCCTTTTGTGGGGGCAACCTCTGGACACCTAATGGAGGATGTATTTCTTGAGACATTCCTACCACTAGATCAGCATGGGGGTGTCTGACTCTTCCTCACCCCATGATCTGGGCCAAGGAAGGCAGTGGGGCCAGTAGGGTCCTGGAGCCAGTAGTGCTGAAGGCCCTCAGGGGAGGCTTCAGCCCCTCCTGTCACATCTGGTAGGGACTGCCTGCCTCCCCTGCCACCTGGAGCTCCCACCTGGGATTGTTACGTGCCAGACCAGGACAGGGTGGAGGAAGCAGGCCACAGACAGCAGCATGTATGCCAGGAACTTCTGGAAGCATCCCAGCCAGTGGGCCTTCTCCTTTGCTTTGTAGGCCAGGGACCCTGGCTGACACCTGGCGGAGGGAGTCCAGGATTAGCAGGAAGCAGGGAGTAACCCAGGGAAACCCGAGAAACATGCAAAGCTGTTGGAGGCTGGGACTGGGTCCTGTCGTGCCCATGTTCTCAATGGTGACCTCTGGATGAACACCCCCATGGGCTGGAGTCCTCACCAGGGATTCCACAGTTAGGGGTCTTGCCTGAGTCCCTCCGAGGATCCCCGATTTCTCTGAAAGGCTGCCCAGCCCTGACTTTCTGGTAAAGAGGGAAGAGAGGTAAATGATCTCAGAACTGTGCAAAGGTGGTGAGAAGGAGAGGAGACTTGGGCCCACTGGGAAGTCCACAGTGCAGTGCAGAAGGTATGCAGTGCAGGGGACACCTGGCTGGGACAGTTGTGTGGATTGTGCACTGCACAAGGGCTCAGGCACTTGAGCGAGCAGTTGCACCCTACTCACTGAGCCTGACCTAGGCATAAGATGGTACTGGACCAGAGGGGTTTCTCTCTTAAGTGGCATACAGGGGTCACACATGGGCCTGGCAGAGGCCTGATACAGAGCAGACTTCTTTCTTCTGGGATTCTGTCTCAGTTTCAAAGGAGGAAAATGCCTCAGGATGGGTCTGGAGCAGAACTCTGCTCCTGCCCAGGCTCGCTTTGGGGCAGTGGCGGTGGGGTGGGGACGGACGATGTGCAGGCCCAGAGGGCAGCACCCCAGATCTGCTGCTGGACTTGCTCATTGGTGCCCTCTGGTGGACATTCTTTTCTGATTTGCTCCTGGGCTGGGAGGAAGGAGTCCAGAGCAGGTAAAACGGCTTTTAGTCCAGGGCTCCTCCCTCACCTGCTCTCCCCAAATTGGAAGAATCTCCTGGAAGTTGCATTGAGTGGGACCTCACCAGGGCTGGTGGCGCGGGAGGCAGCTGGTGGTCTTGTAAAGTACCAGGACACCTGGATTTGAGGGCTGGCTTTTTCAATGATCACAGAGACCCAACTGTTTAGGTTCTGAGAGCCATGGTCCAGGGACAGCCCTTGACCACTCTGATGGAGCTTCTGCACACGGAGCACCTCTGGGTCTCTGTGGCCCTGAGGCTTCCCAAGGTCCTACAAAGCCTGACTCTTGGCCCCCAGGCCCAGGGTCTATGCTATCAGGGAAACTGTCCAATGCTGCCTCAGGAGCAGGCCATCACCTGGGCTGTGGCCTCAGAGATGGGGACTCCTGGGGGTCTAGGGCTGGGGGTGGTGGAATGCCACATGGAAGCTACTTACTGGAAGCAGATGGACAGCAGTTGAGCCACAAAGAAGGCCCCTTCGCACATGAAGACGGCGGCTCCTGTGAACCTATGGTGGAGACAAGTGAGGGCTTCCCAGCGCCCTCTCTCCTCCTCGACTTCCCACAGCCTGTCTTCTCCCAGCAGTGGGGACCCCTGGCCACTGACAGCCACTGACTGGCCAGGGGTTTGCTGGCCTAACTCTGCCCCCCAGCCAGCATCCGTGGGGGCCGGCTCAGTACCAGAGCTGGGCTGTGCTGGGCCTTGGTGAAGACATGGGGCCGGGGAACAGAGGTGGCTGAGGGACCTGCAGGCCAGCAGGAGATCCTGACCCCCACAACCTGTGTAGACACTGCAGGCAAATCCCTCCACCTAGTGCCACCAGAGGGGCACCTACTGCTTGGTTGTGAGAACCCTGGATTGGGTCAAGAGTGGAATGTGCTTGGCATGTAGTGCTCATGGTATAGACAGTAGATATTTTTGTTTCTCCTGTGACCATTTAGTACCTAATCTCTACTTCCTCCCACTTTCTCTATGCCTCCCACAGTCTCCCTAACTCTTTCTCTTCAGCTTTTAAATGGTGGCAACTAACACTTATATAGTGATCACTCTGTGCCAAGCATGTGCAAGGGCTTTATGAATGTCAACTCATTTAGGCCTGTATCAGTTTTATTGTGGAAGCACTATAATCACCCTCAGCTTACAGCTAGGGAAACTGAGGCGCAGAGAGGTCAAACCCCAGCCACTAGGGTGAGGCAGTGAGTCCAAGTCTGAGAGCCCAGCCAGGTGTGTCCTTCACACCACCGCCTCTGCCTAGGGCTCCACTCTGGCCACAGGGACCCTTCGGCCAATGGAAGGGCTGCTGTTTGTGGGTAGAGTGAGGAAGGCAGTGAGGGGCCTCACAAGAAGAGGGAGAGGGGAGCAGAAACAGGTGTGGCGAGAACTGGAGAAGAGCAAGAAGGCAATGACAGCTCAGTTCCTACAGGTGCCAGCCCCTGGTGCAGGCCAGCCTGGACCTGGGGACAGAGCAGGGAGGGACAGTCACATGGGGACGTGCTATGCTGGTGGATGCTCTGAGTGAGTGTGCAGGACCTGGGGACAGAGCAGGGAGGGACAGTCACATGGGGGTGTGCTATGCTGGTGGATGCTCTGAGTGAGTGTGCAGTGGCAGGAGTCCGAGATCTGCATAGGGTAGACTGTATGTGTGTGGGAGATGAGGGAAAGTTGGAGGTGGGACGTTTGGGTGCCTTAGAGGGCTGAGTGGTATGAGGGCAGGAGGCATGGGCTGGGTGGCCGGGGGTGCAGATCCCACGGGGCAGGGAAGCAGAACATGAACTACTTGTCAGTGAGGAGCAGGGGGACTTGAGCCTGGGAAGACCATTTCCTAGGACTGGACCATGGGGAGACCAGATGGACACAGCCCCCCTCAAGGCAGGGATGGAGTGTCAGGAGGATGCTGGGTCCTAGGCAGGGACAGGTATGCATTAACCAGCTGCTGCAGGAAGAAGCCTGACCTCCTTTGTGAGCTGTGCAAACCTGCTGAGGCGTGGAAGGCCCAGACCTGCTTCAGGATCCCAGTGGGACAGTGCTGGTGGCTGGGGTGGGCTCAGTGAAATGTGGCAGGAGTTCAGACAGGAGAACCTCTTCCAGATGGGGCTGGGGGTAGGGGGCTTCAGGCTTGGAGTGGGCTTCCCAGGGCACGGTGCCAGGAAGGAATGCCAGGCTTTGGGGATGCTGAGACAGCTTTGGGGGAAAGGCTCCCAGGTCTCAGTGGGATGGGCAATGGCTTACAGGTGAGGTGACTGGGCAAGTCTAGAAAGAGTCAGAAGCTCCTGGGGTATAAATTGAGTGACAGGATATCGGGGGTCAGAAGATGGCAAAGGAGTGACAGGGGCAGTGACAGCTGTCGGAGGTTGCTAGAGAGGCCTGTGCCTCTAGCGGCTGATTCTGTGGCTGTGTGATGGACTTGGAGGGTGGGCCATGGCTGGGAGGTGGTGGGTGTGAGCCACCTAGCAAACCACAGAGCTGCCCTGAGGAGGGAGGGCTCCCCAGGGTGCAGGCAAGGCCCCAGTGGATGTGGGGGAGAACAAGTGGAGGACGTACCTGTGACCTCACAGGCTCCCTCAGGATGGGGCTGCTGAGAAGCTGGATGGCCAGAGATGGCTGGGGCCTAGGCTGTGTGATCACTACACAGCGATCCCCTTCCCACCAGAGGCAGCTGGCAGAGAAGAAAGGACAGAGGCTGGGGGACCAAATGGACCCAACACTGAATCTGGACCTTGCTTCTCATGAGCTTGGTGATGTGGGCTGAGCACCCTACTCTTTCTTAATTTTCTCATCTGCAAACTAAGAAACTATGTGCTTCTATGGTGCTAGCAGAGCTAAGGGACATGATGAAAATCAAACATTTAACTGTGGTTGGCATGTATGTAAAAAGGCTCAAATATGTAGTCCTTTGAGCTGATTCCCCTCTCTCTAAAACTAGAGCTCAGTTAATGTTTGCTGAATAAAGAAATTATTCAAAAGATGGGTGGGTGGAGAGATGGATGGAGAAATGAGTGGATGGATGATGGATGGATGGGTGGATAGGTAGAAGGATGAATAGATAGATGGGTAGATGTGTGAGTGAGTGGGTGGTTGGATAGGTGGATAGATGGATGGATGGAGGGGTGGGTGGGTAGATAACTGGTTAGTTTATGGGATGGTCTGACTAAACCCCTTCCCCAACCAGGGAATATCCTGGAAGGCCCCTGTACTCCTTCCACTTCTGGGATAGGATAGAATCAGTAGGGAAAAGGGGGTATGCACACATACTCACAGTAGATAGAAAGCCAGGCTTTTGAACTGCCCCTGGAGGAAGGTCTCAGCGCCCATGCCGATCAACACTAGCAGGGGAAGAGGAGAGGGGGGAGTGGGCAGGGTGCTCCAGCCTCAGCCCTGAGCTGGTCTTCGGCTGTGGAGTGAGCCTTCTCCCTGTGGACGGAGGGCCGAGGCAGGCTCTCCACAGGGCCCGGGGATTGGTGGGTGAGAAGATGGAGACGGCAGAGAGCCTTCCGGATGGGTCTCTGGAAACCAGAGGGGTTTCAGGCAGAACCCCAGAGGTTTGCTAGTCCAGCCTCCTCAGAGCACAGATGCCCATCCTTCTCTGCCCACAGTGGTGGTGTGCCACCCCTTAGAGCACACAGACAGTCCACACTGACGGGCCACACCCCTCTGCTGCCCGAGCTGTCTGCCGTGTGTTGCCAACCCACAGGCCTAGGCCCATGTGGGCTGTGCGTCTGGGCTCCAGGTCTTGGCGGTGGGTGGGACCTGCTCCCCCTGGCCCCCCACCGCCCCGTTCACCTGCCCCTGTCACAGTTCTTGCTGTTCCCATGACTTCAGCTCCACTTGCTGGCTCGCACTCTTGGCTCATTGCTTTGAACCCAGGGCTGATTAAGTTCCTGGGGGTTTTCCCTGCTCAAGATGCTGCCCAGCTTCCTGTCTCCTCCTGCCCTTTCTTAACAGTTGGTGTTCGTTTCCAAACACTGGACCTTCCATTTGTCCTGGGTGAACTCCATTTCAGGCCCGCTCCCAGCCTTACTGGCTCCCGGCTGCCTCCTTACGGAGATCCCCAAGCTCTCAGGGCTTTGCGGGAGCAGCGGGGCACCGACCCCAGACCACACCCCCTCTGTGCTGGAAACATTCTGCATGCAGCACTGTGGGACCTTCTCCCAGTGCCCTAATCAGAACTCTTCTTGGCCCCAACCAGTCACACTCCCTGTGCCCACCTTTCTCTCTGGGCTCGGGTGACACACGCCTGTGTTTGTGGCTCCAGCTTGTCTCTCTCCCAGAAAGTCCAAGAGGGCTGGGCTGGGCTGTTGTGTTTGGCTGCCTGTGTGTGGCCCCTCATCTTTGTCACTTGGGGCTGGTCCCCGGCCCAGTACTGCCTCTCTTCCCAGGCAGACACTGTACAAGCTCCACCCTTAGGTGCCTGTGCAGAACCGCTGCCTCCAGAAAAGCAGTGAGGAGCACCAAGGGGCCAGGTCCCACCCTCTACTGTGCGATGGTGGAGCACCTCAGGGAGCGGGACAGAGTGCCTCTGTCGTGGGGAGGGAGGTGCCTATGAGCTCTTGGTGAGCTCTTGGGATGCCTCCCCCAGCCCCCTCCCCTCTCCCGGTGCTTCAGGTCCAGAGCAGTGGCGGCACCGGTGCCTATTCTCTCTAGGTCCTAGGGGCTCACCGGCTCGTCCCAGCTGAAGGGCAGGGACACCAGTGAGCCACCCACCGCACCTCAGGGGCAGCACACCCTACAGAGCACTTAATGGCCGCATGCCCCAGCTCCTCACAGCAACCCTGCCATGCAGGGAAGAATTGAGGCTCCATGACCTTGTGAAGTTCTCCCAAGGACATGTGCCAGCAAGTGAAGGACCTGCAGAACAGATGGGAGACTCTGGCTCCAGGTGCCTAGTTTCCACCGTCTACCTGTGTGTGTGTTTATGATGCATGTGTGTGATGTTTGTGAGTGTGTTTGATGTGTGTGTGTGATGTGTGTCTTGTGTAAATACCCATTTATTTAGCCTTTACTGTTCATCCTGTCCTATTCTCAGCACTTAGAGTTTATGAACAGAGTCATCACGACCATTCATGTGAAGGTGCTGCACTACCCTCATTTTACAGAAAAGGAAATGGAGACACAAAGAGTGTAAGCGAACCGCGGAGCTGGTCAGACCCTCACGTTTTCCAGCTAGTGGCCTCACTCCATCTCCGTCCTGGCTTCCTCACTGTCCTGGGACATGATATTCAGGAGGACTCAACAAGCTGGCCGGTGACAAGCATGGCCATCACTCAGGGTGATCACTTGCCAATTTGAGCAGGAGCTTCATTCACTTTGGGGGTGGCCGATTTTCCCTGGCCTGTAGGGGACACCAGCGGAGGGGCTTGGGCACTCAGTCCCACCCTGATAGGCACCATCTGGCCAGTGCAGAGCTGCCTTAATGCCTTGATGGGAACACGGGGTCCATGGGCAAAGGGGCGTCGAGAAATGCTCTAGAGGCAGCACTGCAGTTAAAACACAAAGTGGCAACTGAGGACAGAGCGCTGGGCTGGAGTCACAGTTGTGTGTTATTACCTTGGTAACCATGGGGAAGCACTAGCTCTGAGTGGGTCTCCCATCTGTGGATGGGGAGGGTAAGCCACACCTCAGAGCTGTTGCTTGGACTGGAGAAAATAAGGAGTCTGAAGAGGGTTTGTGCCAATGTTCACAAGGTTCTTCCTCCCCCTAACTTGGGCCTTGGCCACTTTCCCAGTCTCCAGCTAGCCTATTTCATACCAATGGAAGTGGGGTCACAGTCCCCAAGCTCTCAGGTAACCACAGCCATGATGGGTTCTGCAAGCCCAGGGACAGAGGACATCCTTGGGCTGGAGGAAGAGAGCAGGGGTGAGCCAGGAGTGTGGGTCCTCAGGCCTGGCGTGTTTTGGAGCAGCTGAGAAGAGACATGTTCAGATTAGCCTTTCAGAATGTCTCCTGACCTCAGGCAGATGGAGTGAGAGGCTTTGGTGACAAGTGACTAAGACTGCCCAGAAGATGTGAGTGGTGGCCGAGGAACAGGGTCCTGCTCTGAGTGCTTGTGGCCTCCCCTCTCCCAGCACACCTGGAACTGCCAGTTCCTTTGCTGGCCCGGCGTGAAGTGAAGTTCTGGTGTGCTCCTGCTGGTGTGCCTAGATGACCATGCTCACATGTCTGCAGGCAGGGCACTTGGCAAAGGAGCCCACGAGAGGGGAGTGCTGACTCTGTCTGGGGCTTAGATGAGAAGGCCCCTCCGGTAACAGGAGAAGGGCATGCCCTGCTGATGCATGCTGGCCTTTGGCTTTTTCTGGACAGTGGAAGGCAGGGATCCATATGTGAGCAGAAGGCATCTGTGTTTGGTGGCTCTCTGGGCATGCCAGCCTAGCTGCCCCACTGGAAGTCCAAGTGCATATCAGGCATGTAGTAGGTCCTATACATGCATCTTGTTTCATCTGCCCAACATCCCTTGAGGTGGGAATTGTCAGTCGGGTATTATTTATGGAGAAGTCCCAGCAGGCTTTCTGCAGGGCACTTCGTGACTGTGGTAAAGGGCAGAGGAAGCAGCAACAGGATCAGTTTCTGGTGGCTCCAGGACCCTCCCAGAAGGACACTGGTGAGAACAGTGTTGGTGGGAGACACTTCTTGGGGTCCTTTATGAGCATGGGGGATGTCATGTGGATAAAGCCCATGTGGCCAGGCCATGAACCACTGTGTCCCCCAAGACCAGTTATGGATTTTTGTAATGTCTGCATTACAGTGAGGCAGAAAACTACCCCTTTACAGCCTCAATGACTCTCCTGGTACCCAAGCTGTGCGTCAGTGTGGGGACCGTCCCTCACCCTGGGCATCTGCCTGGGCAGAGTCTCCTCTGAGAGCCAGAAGTAGCCATAGCCAGAATACCTAGGCCCAGGCAGTTCTGCCCCACATCCCAAGGGATGCCCAGGCTGGGCAGGGTCCAGAGCCCCCTGTGGCCAGCCCACACCCTTATTCACAGCACGTCCTTTGAGCCCGGCACCAGGTAAGCACAGGGGGCAATGTGCATCAGGGCCTGGGCAGATAGGCCTGGACCCAGGGAGCAACGAGATACTGAGGTGGGGACTGGCCGCAGCGCTCTGGGTGCAGGGTGAGCTGGCCCCATTCTGCCTGAGACTAAGGACAGCCTTGCACAGAAGGCAGGCAGGGAGGTGCTGGGAGCATGGAGCCCTGTGAACACAGCCTGGAGCCTCCCTGGCCCTGGTTCTGCGTGCCGAGAAAGGGCGTGTCTCTGTGCAGCTCCTGGGGCTGGGTGAGGTCACAGGGCCACACTGGGGCAGCAATGGTGTGGCTTCCTGGCCCACACCCTTAAGTCCTCATTTACCTTGCTACTTCCTCCTGCCCTCCCACGAGAGCCAAACCCACCGGGAAAGCTGTACCTGGGGTCCTGGGAAAACCCCCTCATGCAGTCTGGGTGCAGCCCCATACCCTGGGCACGGGGACTGCTTCTGCAAGGACTTACTCTCATCTCAAACACGTCTCATCAAAGGCCCCCTAGGCTTCTCAAGTTCGGGCCAGTTGCCATTTCTATGGTAAATAAGCCAGGAACGGTCTCCTGGTGAAGATGTTCCTGCTGGTCCCTAGGGCGGCGACACTCTCAGGGATCTGGGGGGTGACTGCTGGGCTCTGTGGCAGAAAACGGGTGCTGACCCCTATGTGCTTTCCACCATTATCTGAAAGATACTCCTAATTATAACAATGCCACCTGGGGTTTCTTTGTTTCAGCAGATGGGTTACATTGAAGCTGGCCACACATTTTTTGCAACTCCTCTCACTGAGGGGTGGAGTCTAGGTAGCTCACTTTGAGTGCGGGCTGGCCCAGGGACTCTTTTGTCCAATAGAACAATCTGCAAGGAAAGTTTGGGGCTTGCACAGATAATTTGCAAAGACATTCCACCCAGTCCTCTTAAAATGTTCATTTTGGGAGAAGCCCCCACCACATGAGAAATTGGATGGTCTGGGGGCCAGCTGCCACATGTGAAGAAACCCAAGCTTGCCATGCAGAGGCCTGCCGAGAGGGACAGAGGCAGATGCCCAGCTCTCGCAGCCAGGCACAGGACACAAGGTGAGGAAGTTATCTCGGGCATCCCAGCTCCAGGCGGCACAAAGTAGAAAACTGATGAGCCAAGCCAAGAATCAGAACCAAAGTTCCAGCATGTGGCCCTGGACAAACCATTCCAGCTACTCCACCTGAGACCCTAGCCTTTAGAGACAAGCTGCCTCCACTGTGCTCTGCCCAATTCCCGAGTCATACAATTTCTAGCACAATAAAATGGGTGCAATCTTAAGCCACTGTTCTGGAGTGGCT